GACAGGTGAAAGGAATGACTAATTAAGGGAGAGCAAACAGGCCAGATCATGACACTCATGTGCCCTGGATCAAATTTGCTGCATAAAACCAGAACCAAAAATGTAGAAGCAGCTTGTAGTTCTTATGCTCAACTGTGAAAGTGTTTTTTTTTTTGTTTTTTTAATCCAGGTTAATCCGGAGTATATTTAAAAATCTATGTATAGCCTTTTTATGAGTGATAAAGATCATTCCTCGCATTATCTTTTTGGTGTTTTTAGAATTTAAACATTATTTCATTCTTTATTTCATTGTTTAAATCATCTATAGTCCTTTGAATTGTTCTTATACATACTATGTAAAAAAAAATAAACTTCCTTTGGCTTCATTGTTAAAAAATTTCCACATCAATTATCTAAGCTTCATAAACTCAGCTTGTCGTGTCGTTTTATTGTTTTGTCTTACGAGTAAGACTTTAGTCCTGTGATGTTTTGAGGTGTTTTATAGATAAAGTTGGATTTGAATGGATTCAAACTTTTCCTTCTTCCTCTGATTCTATCAGCATACCTCAGCGTCTGCGTGTGATGGGGAGTCTCTCCGTCATCATGATTGTCTTCATCATCACTGCCATCCTTGTCAAAATTCCTCTAGAGCCGCTGCCTTTTTTTTCCATAACCATGGTGAAGATCATCATCATCAATTGTGAGCCTGTTTGACTTATTTCTAAGCTTCCTTTTGGGGTCTGAGGTGAAGTTAGTTAATGAGGGACAAGCAACAAGTAAAAGAAGGAAGATAAATCACAATAACATTACTGTAAAAAACATTCAGCAGCATCTTGGAAAGTTTTGAAGACATATGGTCCATCAATTTAGAAATTATTTGAGTAGCTATTATCGTGGCAACTAATGATTAAGTATAAGAATCATGTTATCATATTGGCTGTGCTCAACTGTTCATAAACATGAAAGCAAGGGCGTAGGTTTGATTTCAACTTTGGTAGGGACACTATTCTTCAGTTTCATTGGTCCTTTGCAAAAATATGCATGCTCTTTTTTATGCTTAATGTGAGCTTCAAGGCTCATTTTGTTTAAAGAGAACAGCAGCATTTCTTGCTACATTAATACAAATCTTATAGGCACTACATGCACTAAATGCTGTTTATAAATATTTAAAGCATA